TTACAGCTCTGTTGATGCCTCCTGCACACCTTAGCACGGTGTTGCTGCACGGGCCTGAAAACTGGCCCGAGCGTTGCACCCCGACGGGTTAAGGGATAGTACTTTCTTGCAATTTCTAAGCTATGCCCAATTCTACTTTAGTGTATATTTAGTTGAATTCTATCTTTATAAATATATGTTATAATTACTGTGTACGCCCCCCAGGATAATATATTTGTTGTTAACTTCTGCGGATCCCCAGCGCTTCTTTAGGTCGATGTTCTCTTGTTCCAGGGATGCCAAGCGCTTGGTAAGGTTGGTGTTCTCGAGTTCCAGGGATGCTAAGCGGTCGTTGAGGTAGATGATCTTGCATGTCTGTGATTGCATCTTGCGTGTCTGTAATTGCATCTTGCGTGTCTATAATTGCAGACACTCCTTGGTTTTCAACATGAATTTATCGGCCTTATTCTTATAATTTTCATATGCAACCCGCAGTTCTTCTTTTAGCCTGTTATTGTAATACTTCTAGGATGCTTGCTCGTTGAAATTTAAGCACCACGGGATATGTTTGCTACAATTTACTCTTCGAGAGCTGCAGTAATTGCATAGCTATATTTATGTTAAATACTCGATTTTAGACGCAGAATCGGCTAATTATACTATAGGAACGCGATCCACTGGCTGAAATATATTGAGATGCTGTTCGGGCGCGGGTAGCCTGTGGTTCTGGCCACCTGGAACTAAATACGGCGAAGGTTGCTGTAAGAGGGGGGGGTATAGACTCTTGATTACACGCTGCATGCATGTCCCTGTTAGCTGGAGTTTGAAAGATGTAAAAGTATGTGCTAGCAGGTACAGTAATCGTGCAGGGAGGCGACCGGTACAGAGTGGGGAACAATTAACTTAAGTTGATAGATTAATTGATTTGATTTGGTTTAACCAAATCAATTAATCAATCCGAAGAGGTGGATTTTATCAATTAAATCAACTTCAAGGCATTAAATTAATTGATTTGATTGGTTTAATTGATTCCTATTTGCGGAGCGTAGATAGAGTATCCTATAGAGAGCCCACCTAGCAGAAGTGCTTACTAAGCAGTCTCCTAACCCTGATTTTTATCCTAACTCATATTAACGCGTCCAACACTATACCACCTCTGTACAATATCGCACCCAGCAATGAATTAGAACCTTCAGAACGTACAGCAGGAAGTTATCGCACGCGCAAATCGAAAGAAACCTCCCCGTAAGGTTAATTCTATGCGCGCCGAAGTCAACACGAATGAACACGTCGAAACACCTGCCACGAACGACGACGACGTTGACAACGACAACCTATATAAGAACCTTAATTGGCTACGGGTACCGCATCTGCAGAGAAGGCCTTACAAAACCTTACAACCGTTAAAAGCAAGCTGGATTTACGCGTACGGTTGGCCTGTTTACTATCGAAAGCAGCGCCAGAAGTTCTGGCTCTGCAAGTACTGCCATATATATAGAATACCTAGCGGCGAGTTCAACGTTAAGAAGGCTACTTTGTCAGCTATGGCTCACCTAGGGCGGCAACAGCGTGGCCACGAGGTTAATAAAGATGGCCAGATCAACTTCTCTACTCCAAACCAGATATTAGTGTTGGCGATAATGCAGTTCCAGGGCATTAATATTCCATAGGACGTGGCCAATAAGCTGGCGGACAGCTTTAATCGGGCGAAGTTTCTACGCGCTGTTTAACACTGGGTTGCTGATAATAATTAGGCTTTACGCGTTATTAAGAAGCCTGCCTTCCGCAGCATAATTGCTGCTGCTAGACCTATTGCCGAATTAAGCCTATAGAAGACCTATTGTACACTCCGAGAATCTATTATAGCTAAGTATAATTCCTATATACCCGCCGTAATTAAACACCTCCAGCAGGCAACTAGCCTTATCTATATATTATTTAATAATTGGACTTTAGTTGGCAATAAGCGTGCGCTTACTAGGATATATATATATTATCTAAACAAGAATAGCCGGCCAGAGAACTACTTATTAGGCCTGCCTGTTCTTCTAGGCCAGCACTTAGGTAAGAATATTGCGGAGATAGTTAGCTTAACGTTATAATTGTTTAAAATTAATGCTAAGCGCCTTAGCTACTTTATACTTAACAACGCTATAAATAATAACACTGCTTTAATAGCAATAGCTAATAAGTTTAAGTTCAGCATCTCCCAGCGTTGGTTACGCTGTACCTGCTATATTCTTAACTTAGCTGCCTAAGCAATTATATAGGGTAAGGATAAGAAGGCATTTAAAAGCATGGACGTAAATATACAGGTAAAATTACGTCTCTAATCTTATTGCTATTCTATATTGCGCTAATAGTAATATAGGAAGAAGAACTGCTAATAGCAGAGTAGAGGAAAGCCGGGCCTATTAGGGTGCTATTCAATATTATATTATCTATTAGCGCCTTTCTATAAGCCCGAGAGCTGTTTATTAAGCTGCAGGCAGAGGACTTAAAGCGCCGCAATAAATCTTATAAACTAAAGAAGCTTATTAAGCCTGTTAGAACTCGGTGGAACTCTTACTACAATTGCTTTAAGCGCGCCTGTAAGCTCTAAGGCCCTCTTAACGCGTATATATATATAAAGCTTAAGGAATACAATATTAAAGCAGCATCTCGGCGCAAGGATATAAAGAAGGAGAAACCGCAGTGCTTTATTAAGGAGCGAGGGCTAAACGCAGGTAATTAGGCAACAATTACAGAGTATAAGCAGCTGCTTAAGCCGTTTAAGGATGCAACAACGTGGCTACAGGGCAGAGGTTCAGCTAGTAGCCACGGAGCTATTTAGGAAGTTCTTATTATATTTAAATAGCTACTCTCGGCCCTTAAGAAGCAGAAGGAGAGGCTTAAGGCTATTAACTATAAGGATCCAGATGCACCCGAAGATCACTTAGTTATTAATATTAATACCGCCTATAAGAAGCTTACGGATTACTACGGGAAGATAGAAGACACCTTTATCTATTTTATAGCTATAATACTTTATCCAGCATATAAACACGCGCTTAAGGGGCTATAGAAGGTGCCGAAGGATTATAATATAAAGCGCGATAGGCTATATCCGTATAAGAACTGGCTTTTAAATAGCTATAGCTCCTTCCGGCTGCTGTAGCAGGCATATAAGGATAAGGTGGCTGCAAAGGCTGCTGGCGCAGTATCTCCTACCTCGTCTCCTAATATAAGGCCTGCAAAACGCCGTCGAATAAGCCCTATAAACGACCGAGCAGACTTCCTTAGGAACTCTATAGAGGAGGGCAAGCAGGAGATGGAGGAAACTGTTAACGACGAGTACGAGAGGTGGAAGCGCGAGCCAACTCTGAAACAGGACAACCTACTAGCGAAGGACCCTATTTAGTACTGGGTTATCACAAGAGATCGCTATCCTATTCTAGGCTAGCTAGCCCTTAATATCTACTCCATCCCAGCCTCCTTAGCTGATTGTGAGAGAATTTTCAGCGAACTTAGCGATCTCCTGGGCGTACGACGCCTTAATATAAAGCCTGAGTTACTTAGTGCTCTGCAATCTATACGCTCCTGGCGTCGAATTAGTATTAAACCTCCTAAGTAGTAATCAACTTATTAATCAATCTATCAATCAAACCAATTAATTTAACTTGGGGGTCAAAAAGTATCAATCTTATCAACTTAACTTGAGCATCTCAGAAATTAATCAAATCAAATCAAATCAATCACAGCCTGTTCAACGAAGCAATCAATCAACTTGGAGACGTCAAAGTTGATTGATTGATTGATCCCCACTCTGGACCGGTAAAAGCAAGGCCGAAGGACTGTCGGGCAATCTGGTTAATATAACCTCCAAAGAGCACAGGCTTTCTGCTATTCAAGGAAGCATGGCTTCAATTGCTGGACTCGCGCAACCAAAGCAGCGGATCCCTCTCCTAGAGTTGGTGTGTCTGTGCCTAAGCGTCTGTGCATACTCCCTTGTTTCTACACAGTGGTGATTAGGTTTCGCCGTGGCGTCATCCCCATGCATTTGGAGTTTGCCCCCTGCGTTTAGAATCACTCGGGCCTCATAGAAGCAGGATCGGAGGGGGAGGTGCGGGGATTCATGGTTCGAAGATCTACTGTGGCGTTCTTCGGTCTCGGTTCAAGCAGGGGTACATTTCCCAACATCTGGGGTTTTGGGAAATGTACCCCTGCTTGAACCTTCTCTTCTTCCAGAGACCAACTCAGCCCGTCCATCAAAGCGGCCCACCACCGGCCGCCGCACCGACAGGTCGCGATCGAGGTCAAGACCCAGCCTACCACCGCAGTTGGGTCCACAGCTACCAGCACTGCAACCAGTATCCAAAAGCGAGATAGCGAGTGGTGGCAATCTAGGAACGGCGCTGGGCTAGAAGAGGGATAGGGAGAGCGTGGGGTTTACAGAACCGTATCTTAAAAGAGGAGGAGGCCGAGGAGGCGTCCGGAGAGTACCTCCAGCGTGGTGAGTGTGACGAAACAAAGAGAATGACGCTCATGCAGCAAATAATGATGACTGGATAGGCTTATGCATGCTGTATAACCTGGGCCGGGGCCAATATCGGCCATGACTTCGCGAGGATCGACCTGAGCATCAGAGCGCTTCATCACTTGCTGTATCTGATACTTATCTTAGCGCCATCAATATATTGGGGCACCGCGTGCAGCCTCCGGCCTGCGCACGCCTGCATGTTTATGCGAGACAAGGAAAGCGGAGGCTACTAGAAAGGCATAAGCGTTATGTTCGGACTACTTAGGTTTAAAAACAATCTGCCAATAGCCACTTTTAGGAATTTGCATGGGCTGTTGGTTCATTCTGCGCGGCGCTCGCTCTGACAGGATCATATGCGCTGTTTGAAGCTAATGGCTGCTCAGCCGGGGGCTGCTGCTCGTGGGGTCGATCGGTTGGCTGGCTTGCTTCCTCGTGTGATGTAGTGGTTCTTGCCACTAATACTTCAATTAGAAACAGTGTAATAACCGTTATAACATCAAAACTAACAGTGAGGGACCTTCCTAAGGGCCTGTGACATGCGCCAGTTAAGGAGATCACCATCTATTTCAGGGATCTTCTCAACCTTCAGCTGTGTATTTACATTCTCCAGGATCGCCGCGGCAGTGTCTGCAGGGACATCCCTCCAACTAGTGTGATTCGCGGCAAGCCTTTCAGCTTCCGTCTTTGTGAAGGCCTGCCGGTCTCTGTTAAAAGGCTACGTCGCTGCGCCGTGCTTGTATCCCTGCTTACCAAGAACCGCCTCCACTGAAACGAGTTATGCCTAGCAAAGGTCTGTGCATCACGAGCCGTGGCCCTGAGCTTGAGGGTCATTATGCGTGGTGGCGTTGAACTGATGAGATTCGGCAGGAGTCATGTTACCGCCGAAGCGGGGCTGGAACAAGAATACGACGTGTGCACTGACCACGTCAACTTGATCAAACTGGACAACCCACGCTAATCGCTGTTCTCTAACTGGCCAGGCACATGCGTCAGCTTGATCAAGCCCGTCAAACTTGACAACCCATGCCGATCGCACCAATCACATACAACTGATCAAGCCCGTCAAACTCAATCATTTGCCTCTATCAATCCCGACCCTGTGATCCCACCTTTCCGCTCTTCCCCGACTGGCCACCTACATGTGGTCTCGCAAATATCACACACGAGGCTTCCTTCGCCCCATTTCACTGAGTATGCATGTTTGCCTTGTTTCAACCTAGCCGAACGCCTATCTACTACTGATTATTTCATTTGATCTCTGGTTCTTAGCTGCATTGGCTTGGGTGTCATATTTATTCGCTGTCTTGTATTGTCTTGGCTCTGTTAGCCCACGCCAAAGACCTTGCACCTGGCAAGTGCGGCGCCAGGAGGGCTGTTGCTCTTTATCGAACTCTATGGGCTGACCACTGTCAGACTTGCAGCATGCAGGCCCTTAGCCTTATTTGACACAGACTCATGCACAGCACGAGATGGAGTGCTAGGCAAGATGTCGTACGTGCCAACCTGACCATCAACCCGTCGATCTGCCCAACTGCCAGGCTCCTTCACCACCTCTAAGTTTGGATGCTTACATGCATGGGTAGACGGATATATATAGGGTGACGAACCCCTCTGATAGCCTTTCAACATCTATCGTCGCAGTCCCCTTCGCGTCTCTTGTCTGTTTCTTTGTTCTTACTACCCGTCCCTCCAACGATGTTAGTCTCTGACGAGTTCGTTTTTGTCAAGATTGGGTCTGAACATGTTGTTTTCAAGTCTGCCTTGAATCCTGCACCACCTACACCACCGACACCACCTCCACCGCCGCCTCCTCCCCCAGCTGGCAGCTCGGCTCAAGTAGCTCATGGGAAATATCCACAAACAATCTCTGTCGCTGCACCGCCTCCACCTTCCCTGCCTCCTCCTCCACCGCCTCCACCACCACCACCACCTTCTTACTCTTTGATGCCACCGCCGCCGCCGCCGCCGCCGCCGCCGCCTCCACCCCCTATATCACAACAACTGCTTCCATGGCAGATGCAAACAGGATCATCGAATATGCCATACTTGCCAAAGAAGTCAGAGAAACAACATCTCGATTTCAACGTACCACCCCCGCCCCCGCCCCCGCCTCCAGGAATGGTCGTCATAAACCAGGGCAGGGGACGCACCCTTAGCCGAAGTTCCAGCATCGATTCTTACCGATCAGACAGTTCGCTAGTCTCGAAGCACATGGCCGAGCGTGTCGGGAGCCACAGAGATCTTATACCCCCGCGATACTCTGGGGAAACGGATCCGGATGCTGATAGGATTGTGAGGATACCTATACTCAAGCGCAATATCTATGTTCCATCTCATGGTGCATCTCCGGCCGACCTGGCGGACTTTATGTGGCTTCTTAAGTTTGGTGGGCCAGAGCAATGGTATGAGAGACCAGAACCAGTTAAGCTGGACCGGATGACTGTTCTTAATGCTGTTGGATGTCTACGATGTCCACCAGATGAGCTGAAGGCTCTCGACAATCCTCGACCGTTGTCTCTTGATGTCCCTCAGATATGGGTCTCCGCAGCCTTGAACACTCCCACCGATGATAATGTATTTGACTGCATGGCCGGTCACGGAGACTTTGCTGGAAAGTGCAATCAATGTACCGTTGGGAAGCGTGAGGCTCTCGAGAAAACCTCACTGGTATACACCCTCGTCCTATCGACATTCTAGGCGAATGAGTATTACTCTGGCAAGAACAGCCTGTCTGGGAATGGAAAGAACATTTACAAGATGATTCGATGTGGTGGAAGAGAAGCAGCTGCTGCTGCCGCCTTCTATGCTGCTGGCGTTGATGGATGGAGTGTGGTCTTCTCCTGTGTTATGGTTGAGGGAGAGACTGAGTTGAGAGGTAATGGTGTTAGTGTTGAGAGGGTGAATGACTTGTGGCGACTTGCAGACAGGCAGCAATATGGAAAGAAAGTCAAGATGATGTTCTACTAAGTAGACAGCCTCGCCTTCTTCCTATTGCTCCTTCTCGAACCAGGACCGTGTTTAGAGTGCAGGGAGAAGGCTGGGAAAGCCCAGAGGAACATTTTGTTGCTGCTTTGAAGGAGTACCGCGGATGGACAACTTGACGAAATTTTCATTCTAGGTGGCTGTTATTTTCTGTTCCTATTTTTCACTCCTCTCGGTAGCTACAGCTTAGTGGCAAATTCTATCTACCATGCAACCCATACCGCAGACTCCTCTCTCCTTAAGTGGTATTGTCGTCTCACAAAGCCCCAGCTTCCACGACCGCGACGCTTGCAACGACGCTTCTGAACAACCCAGACCGGCAGCCCCAAACAAACACCGGCGAGTCACCGATAACATCCAATCCTTCGTAGCCTATTGATTAGCGCTCCCAGGGGTTTCTACTAATATATGAGCACCCCCGTTCCTATAGTGTCTGTACGAAGAATTCACTTTCGGTAGTACCAATTCCGCTGGTCTACCAAATCGTCGCGACTATCCAGCTTCTCGCTCACTGGACTCGCGATATCTTCGCGCCATGGTTTGAAAGGGACTTTATTTCATATTAGATTTGCTGCGACGTACAAGGCTAAAGACCAACAATTAATTCAGGGTTCAGCCTCCACCTCTTTGTTTGTGCATGATTTAACTTTAGATGTCCTACACTCGTATGACATTTTAACCAACATGCTATACGCTTTTGCCCTACATGGGCATTTGTTTGTAACACATCCGGAAGGACAGTTGCAGTACACTGCAGCAAACGCTAGCTAGCGAGCTGGCAGAAATCAATGCCCAGACAGATGATGAGGACGAAGACGACCCTCTCCTTGATCATATCACAGTACGAACTAGCAAGCCTAGCACGCCAAGCACGCATAGCACGTCTAGTAGGCCTGGCACGCCTAGCACGGTGGATGCGACATCTACACGAGAGCCGTCCTACGAGGCCGATTCCGCATCCAAAGGGCCAACAGGGCATTTGCCTACCCCTGAGCTAGAGGACGATGCAGCGCCATATGCAGGTGCTGAAACAGATGCAGAAACAGACACAGATGCAACACACGATGCAGCGCTAAATGCTGCCCCAGATGCGGCCCCGGCGGCCCCGTATGCAGCAATAGCAGCCCTGAGGCAGCCCCTGAGGCAGCCCCTGATTCTCGTCCGAGACGGCAGCGAACAGCCGTCACGTACAACATCAACGACCTCTCATCTCAATCGGTCAATCAACGGCCTAGACAACGAGGGGCAGGCCGTGGCAACCACCACGATGCTGCTATGAATGCAATGCACGAATCGCTGTACGAACCTGCTACGCATACGCAATACTATCACGCCGCATTCGCAGCTACTAGCCAGCAACAACAACGGCTACATCGCGACGAGATTCCCCCGCCACCACGATTCTGGAAAGAGCTAGGAAAGCACAGATTTGGTAGAGAATTTGAGCTTGCTGCCGCAGCAGAATACGCCACGCTAGCAGATCGCGATACGTTTGAACACGTTCCTAGGAGCACGGCTACGTCACAGTCAATCCCGCTCATGTGGGTATTCACGTACAAATTCGATAACAACGGATTCCTTGCTAGGTTCAAAGCACGCCTAGTTGTTAGGGGCGATCTACATGAGGCTAGCGAGAAGGATACCTACGCAGCTACCCTGGCAGCACGTGCGTTCCGCTGTGTCATGTCACTAGTTGCAGCATTTGACCTAGATACGTGGCAGGCAGATGCATCTCCAGCCTTCACAAATAGCTATCTCGACGAAATCGTATACGTCGAATGCCCTGATGGATTTGCACGCGCAGGGTAGTGCATCCTGCTACGCCGCGCGCTATACGGCCTGCGCAGGTCGCCACTCTTATGGGACCAGGCAAAGAAGATCTGTAAACTTGAGATCTAAAACAGGCTGCTCTGCCGGACAGGGCGTAATAGCGTTGGTCGAGGCGTCTATTCCAAACAAGGGTTAGCATTCATCGGCCTCTCCTGAGATGGTTTTCAAACCTTTCGCATTCTGTGTGTTTGATGAATTGGCGCTTTCGTTTTCCAATAAGTCCTGTTCTGAAGCAGGCGTACATTGACCTGTTGAGAATTAGCAATTAAGTCACTTTAAATAGAAGGGGCCTTTCTACCGATGGCGGGAGCGCTCTCCGAGGGAAGCAAGGCGCTGATTGAGTGCTTACAAACGTTCTTCGCGGCCGCTGCCAGTCCTGTAGGGTGCGGGACATACTGCCACCAGTTTTAAAGGTCGGAAACAAGGTCCTGAGGCATTATTCCACCCAGCTTTGTAATGGATGTTACAAGAATAAATACTCTATTAATAAAAGAGCTAGTGTTGAATTAGTATAAGGCTCAGCGGCCTTAAGATTTAATATAGCTACCTTAATTTCCATTTACACCAGTTAATCCAGTTCTTAGTTAATTACAGCTTAACGGCTGTTTTGGAGGCGAAGTTTGATTTGCTCCTAGCGTGTCTGTTAAATCTATAGCCAAAACCTTTACCCCTTTACACTTAGCCGTAGATTAACTACTATTCTTTATACTTTTCCGACTAGATCTAGATCTAGATAGTCTTTACTGCGGTTATTTATCCTTGCTCTATTATACTCTAGTCTAAACGCTAAAGATTAAGAAGGCTAGTTTAATAAGACTTAGGACCCCTTTCCCGCCTCTGCCTCTAATCTAGCTTCCCTCCGCCCAAGACTTAAAATAACATATTAATTAGCAGCTTACCGACAGACGGCTTATTAATAGGCAGCTCCTCGCCTAAGTGCATTTTCTAATACTTGGTATACTTGCCGCCCTTTGCTATAAGCTTATTATAATTACTATCTTCTATAATCTTGCTATATATTCCTAAAATAAAGATTTTATTAACACGCCTAATAGAAGAAAGTTAATGACTGGGGAGGAGGTTAATATAATAAAGTCTGCTAGGGAAAGAAAGAAACTTACGCAATAATTATTACTGTCTATTTAGCAAACTCTTAGTTAATACTATACTTAATAAGGGCCTCGGTTTTAGTATTAAGCGTACTAGTCCCTTTATTAATAAGTATAATCTTGGGCTTTTAAATAAATATACAAGCGAGCACGAGATACTGCCGCTTACCGCCTAAGAAGTTCCTATATTAGTGCGGTTAGCAGCTAAATATAGAGTTTAAGCCTGCTTTATAGGAGTTAATGCGACTTACGCGCCGTTTTCTCCTGTTGTCGCGCTATACTGGCCGGTATAACCCTTAATTATTTTTTTAATGCCTGCCCTATAATAGGCGTTATAGCTCTTTATATATTATATTCTATTTTATAAATATAATATTCTCTATTACGGTGGTATTAAAGAGGTATAAATTCTAAGGTATTAATTTAATAACTTTATGCAGCCTATATATATTAGCAGCAGTTAGTATATATATCTTTAGTTATAAGATACCTATCTACTTATAAGTTAGTTTTAAGCGTTTTAATATCCTAACTATTAATAAGAATTATACCCTCGGTCGGCTTAAGCATCTCTATTAAAAGCTTAAAAGCGGTAGACTTTCCTATACTGCTCGGCCTAATAAAAGCAACTTTAGATCCCCCTTTAATTATAATATTTATATTATAGATAACTTAGCTACTTAACCCTAGATAAGAAAAAAAGATATTCTAAAACTCTACTTTACCTTTAATATACTTTAGGTTATTTTCTCCTTTTTTAGTGCTTAATTCCCTTTCTATAATTCTTTTTAAGTAAGCGGTATTAAGAAGATCTTTAAGTATATTATTAATAAAAGAAGTAAAGTAGTTAACAGGGCCTAAAAGGAGACCCTAAAGGCCTAAAAAGGCAACTAAATTACTAAGTAAGATTTATCTAAAGCGGATCTTATATATAATAAGCGTATAGCTAGCTAGACGCCTAGAATAGAGTATAAAAGTCTGAAAAAACCCGAAACCGGAGCTAAATATACTATATCTCCGCTATTATAGCATCTAGAATTCTACTTCAGACTTATAGCAATTTATTTTATATTTAACTTGGTTATAACTATACACAGTACTCTATCCACGCACGCTATCCTAACGTTAACGCTCCTAGTTATTTCTAACAGTAATATACTTATTATAATCTTCTATAAGCACTTTTAGAGAACTCTTTTTAAGGATATAGTAAATAGTAGTTATATATATTATAATAACTGTTATAAATAACCTAAAACGGGTGAACAAGACACCTATAATAAAGACCAGGGTTACTAGATTTAGTAGAAAGGAAAAGATAAGGGTGTTAAGTATACTATTAATACTGCTTGCGTAGTTAACGGCCTTAATTAAATTAGTAGGGTGGGTTACCTAGTAAAAGTAGGCATCCTGTGTTATTATATAGGAGTAAGCCTTAATTTTTAGTATTTTAGTATAATAAAGATAGATATTAATCTATAACAGGCTATAAATAGTGCCGAGATATAGGGGGGAATTAACTACCTAGAAGAAAACTAGAGTTAATAATAGGCGCTAAGAATTGGCGCCCGAGGTAAGAGTGTTAATAAGCACCGCTAACAGGAATAGCTTATAGATATTTATAGCTCTTTATACTATAAGAATAATAAATATTAAGAAGAATTATAGCTAGAGGATATATTAGCCGAATAGCTATATATATTTAAGGAAAATCTAAAACCTTTTTATAAAGGGCTACTATCCGCTAAGCAGTTTAACTTCCTTCTTTACCTCTATCTAAATCCCTAGGGTATTAATACTAGCAGGCCTATAAGTTAAGTTATCTTTATTAGCGCGGGACCGGAACTTATTAGTAGAAGCAGAATTGCAATTTTTAGGATTAAAGTTAGGCAGGGTCTAGTATTTAGTATAGGAGACTTAAAATAAAAGTATTATAGTATATATTAGCGCCTTCGCGGCGGAAAGTAAGATACTAAGAAGGTTATATAGCAAGGGTTAAAAAGATAGTAGGCTAAAACAGATAATAGTAAGGAACTCTAAGGTATAAAAAAGAAGCTAGAATATACTAATAGTATACCGAAAAGAGGGTTTCCCTTATACTATAAAGGATTCTAGATAGATAGTATTAGTAAAAGCAAGGATTATCTTAGAATAGGAGGCGGTAGTATTTAGGAGCTTTTTTTAGCTTAGTAACTTAACTATAAAACTAGCAAAATTGCTGAGATAGAGTAAGACTAGGAGGAAGAGAAGCCTAAAAAGGCACAGCTGGCAATGGAAAAAGGTAGGCGTAGTGCGGGAGCTAGAGAATAAAATAGCTAGACTAAAGTTAGCAATAAAAAGGGTAAAGGTATAGAAGCCCCGGTAAATATAAAGCTAAGGGTCTAGTCTAATAGGTATATTAATAAGTCCTTAATAATAAGTAAATATATAGGGAGTGCAAATAGGGAAAGCTAAGTAAAATAGTTAGTAGTTTAAATAATATTCTATAGGTCCTTTTTTTAAACACTAACAGTGTTCTAAACTACTTATAAGCAATATTATACACAGCCTAGCGCTAGCTAACTACAGAGCTAAATTTATTGCCTGCAGCAGTAAAACTATAAACTATTCCGGGAGGCTAAAGAATTATCCCCTATCTATAATCCTGCTTAAGTATAATAAGGTAAATAGATAAGAGCTAATAATAAACAGCTACTTTACTTACTATAAAGTATACTCGTTAGCTATAGGTTTAGTTTAGCCCCTAATATATATAACCGGACTTTATAATAATAGATCTTATATACTTCTAGACTAATACAGGGTATAACTATTATAGCAACCTAAATTACTAATCGTTATTCTGTCTACGCCCTATTTTCCTCTAATATTAGTTTCTGTTAGCTTACCTAGTTTTCTAGCCCTATAGCGCCCGCTAAAGCTCTTTTTATTTTCCTAGATATATTTATACTAAACTGTTAATTACTACTAGTTATTCTAGATATCGGGATTATCTTACTATTAGATAGCCTTACCGGCATCCTTACTAAATATTTAATCTCCGTTCTTAGCGTATTAAGGGCAGTTTTAGTCTAATAATATATCTATAATAGGAATAGACTAAGCCTTTCCCTAGTTATACCCGACTGCCTGCCTAGATCTATTGTTAAATAATATCTTCTCCTAGAAAAGGGGGGAAGAAATAGGACGCAGGAGCCTAGGAAAGGGGACGGGTGCGGGAAGAAAAGAAATAGCCCTTTTTACTCGCTCTAAGGTATATAGCTACTAAGGTATATAGCTACTAAGGTGTATAGTATATAGCTACTAAAGTGTATAGTATCTAAAATGCGCGGCCTATAAA